GTGTAACCTTCGTAAACACCAAATAACAAAATGTTATATTGGCCACCACAGGGCGTAGACCTATTCTATTTTTATAGCTGGAGGTAGATATAATTGCATGTGGGGGTTTTTTCCAGCGTACTTCAGCCAAAACCACTGCGAGTTTAAGTTCAAACTTACTACATGTTAATAGTAACACTTGCAACTTTTTCTATTCACTTCGATAAAACAACTAGACAAGGAACATACATTAGTTGGAAACCTAAACTACAAAAACAGGAAACTATATCACAGTTCCACACAATGTTCTGGTCATTTAAAAGCCAAATTGTGCAACCTGGGAAATCCCAATTTTGTTCTTCTGCACTGTGAGTCAGAACTGTGAGGAAACCTCAGGAAACTTTGTTCAACACAACGCTGGTTCGTAGACCTTCTTAGGCGTCCCATTCGTCAATCTGATACAGTCTTGATGGAATATCATCATTTTTTATATTCATTTTGGTTTTAAGGAAGTAAGTCATGCAATTACTAAGTCACATTGTTTTTTTGCACAGGAGTCAGAGCTTAGAAAAATACATTGTTATAGAAAATTAGACTATAAAAAAGATTAAAATAGCAGTTTTTTTATGATGAAAAAATGAAAGCAAATAAACCATGTCAGATCTTTTTCTACCTTTAATGTCATATAGCAACCAGCAGAATTAAAGTGAAAAACAGTTAGAATATTTTAAGGAAAATAAAAAATTACAGTTACCCTGTTGCACAAGCACACACCCCTTAACTAATACTTTGTTAAAGCATCTTTTGCTTTGCTTGTAATACATCACTCAGTCTTTTTGGGTAAGAGTCTACCAACTTAGCACATCCTGATTTGGCAATTTTATTCCACTCTTTCTTCCAAAAATGCTCCAGATCTATCAAATTATTAGGGGATCTCCTGTGTACAGCCTTCTTCAAGTCATCCCATCCCTCTTCAGCCTCATTCTAGTCAATGACTTGGATTTGTGCTTTGGGTTGTTACGATGCTGGGAGGTGGAATTTTTCCTCATCCTCAGCTGTCTAACAGAGGCCTGCAAGTTTTGTTCCAAAATAGATTAGTATTTGGAGCTATCCATGATTCCATCTTGATTGGAGTCCCAGTCCCAGCTAAAAAGAAACAGCCCCATAACATGATGCTGCCACTACCATGCTTCACTGTGGGTATGTTCTTTGGTTGACAAGCTGTCTTGTTTTTGCACCAAACATATCTTTTAGATATGTGCCCAAAAAGTTCTACTTTGATCTCATCAGATGATAACACATTTTGCCACATGGTTTGAGGTGATTTAGTTGGGCTTGGATGTTTTTTCCATGAGAAAGGGCTTCTGTCTAGCCACCCTACCCCATAGCCACATGCAGTGAGTGACCGGTACTTGCCAGATATTCCTGCAGCTCCTTTAATGTTGCTGTAGGTCTGCTGCCAGCCTCACTGATAAGTTTTTTTTAATCTTGTCCTTTCATCTATTTTGGAAGGACGTCCTTTTCTTGGTAATGTCACTGTGGTGCCCCATTTCCTCCGCTTGTTGATGATGGCCTTCACAGTGCTCCATGGTTCATCTAATGTTTTGGAGAATCTTTTGTGCCCCTCTCCTGATCAAAATCTTTTGACAGTGAGATCCTGTACATGCTTTGTAAGCTCTTTGTGAACCATGGCTTCAGCAATTGAATGAAACCAAGAAGATGTGAAGAAAATCCTACAGAAAGAGTTGATCTTTGTTTGGGGTTAATCAGAATCACTTTGACGACAGGTGTAAGATAATTCGTTTTGAACATGAGTTTGAAGGTGATTGGTTCGTTCTTAGCACAGTCGCATACCTCATTATAAATAGGGTGTGCACACTTGCAGCCTGGTTATTGTACTTTTTTTCTTTTTTTCCCTAAAACATTTCTAATTGTTTTCCCCTTGAATTTTGTACGTTGCTATGTCATATTAAAGGTGAAAAATATCAGACATAATCCATCTTTGTTTCTTTCTTTCTTTTTCTGCATCACAGAAACTTGTAATTTTAACATGGGTGTGCAGACAGTGCTGCCATTGCAGAGAGACAACGGGGGAGGATGAGTTCAGGGAAAACACTGATGAGCTGTGGTTATAGAGAAACATAGTTTCAGTGTGGAATAACAATGTGTAAGCAATCCTAACAACCTGTAATGAGCAGGTTTTGGTATGTTACATACATAGGAATCAAATGATAAAACAGCATCTAAGGATACACCAAGGTTCTTGGTAGGTTTTGCCCCAGGTGTGGGTATATTCAAGGCAGGCTTGGGTGGAGGTAGAAGATGAAGAAGATGATAATTTCCGTATTATCAATGTACTACAAAGTAATATTACGTAAACTTGTATGAGTGTGACAAAAGAGCCTTTTATTCATTTAGGCAGAAAGAAAAATGTATTTTACCCTTACAGCCATGAAATGGGGAAGTGATTCATGGTCATACTTTGGTGTACATGTTATTCTAAATGATTGATTCCACAGCTCTCCGTTTGGCCCATTATGTGCCTGATAAGCCTCAATCAGATATGTTTAGCCTGTTTCTTTCATCTTATGTCTTTTTTTCCCCCTGTTTTTCATCTATATCAGCATTATTATTGCATATTATTGTTGTTCTTTGATTCAGCAGATCATTTGTAGTTTGATTGTTTTGTGTTTGTAGCATTCCTGAGGACTAGTACTTAATGCAGCTGTGTTGCTCTGTGTGTGTGCGTGTGTGTGTGTGCGTGTGTGTAGTCATGGCTCTTTCTTTTCTTCCTGTTACTCATAAAGAAAATTGTTAAAAAAAAAGAAGAAAGAAACAAAGAAAGAAATCCGGGAATAGGTTCTCCAATAATGTGGGAAACTGCTGTAGTTGTTTATTAGGGAAGGAACTGATTGTTAATACTCAGATGTAGTACTGAAGCGCATTCAGTGATTAATTGACTATTTGGTTAAAGAAAGCAAGAAATTACGCACACTTAACAGCACTTCATTCTTTCCACTTAACAGCTATGGCGATCACGTGCAACACTTCAAGGTTCTGAAGGACAGAGAGGGACAGTACTTTGTCTGGGACGAGGTCTTTTCATCTCTCAACCAGTTGGTGGACTTCTACAAAAGCAACAGCATTGCTAAAGAAAGGACAGTCTTTCTCCGAGAGGCAGAACGCTCACAACGGGTAAGCTGAGGTGTTTGAGTTAGGATGTTGTATGATATGGGTATAAAAATCCACAAGAACCTGACATACTCTCATTCTGGATTATCTTGCTTATCAGCCTAAACAGTGTTAATCAAATTTAGTCAAAAATTCATTTTAAAAAAAAAAAATACATAGATTATGCATGTGAATAGAAAGCCAACAACTATTTTAGCAAAGATTACACCACTCAGGATTAGATTTTATCCGAAGAGTCTACTGTAGTTTTTTTTTGTATTACATTATGACAAATGATACATTTCACAACATTGAAACTGAGACGTTCATTATCAAATTAACATTACGTTGCTATGTAAAGTCAGTTAATCAGAATATGATTTATCTTATCAGATAAGGATGACACTCAGAGTGGCAGATCAGCCCTTGCTGAGCCATAAGGTGTATTCACACATACCTTTTATCCACCAGAGGCCACATCATGCCCATGCGCTGGTAGACTTCACCCCCAAGCACAACTCCCAGCTGCAGTTCCTGCGCGGTGACGTCATTGACCTGCTCGACTGCTCAGACCCGCAGTGCTGGAAGGGACGCTGCAATGGGCGCATTGGTTTCTTCCCCAAAGAGTACGTCAAGCTCATTTACCACTGACCTCAGCAGAGCCTCATGCAGGGGGTCACCTGTGGTCCTTTATGACCAGCGCAGTGTGGTCTGATACACCTAATTCAACTTAACAGTTAGTAAAAAGACTGATTGAGCAGGGAAATGATTGAAATTCATGTGGACTGCAACAGACAAACATACAGACAGGTGTAATGTTGTGTCTGTGAAAAATACATGTCTTCCCTGATGAGCGGTGAACAGGAAAACAGAAGGAACTGTCTAATCCTTTTCATTTAGCCTACAGCATATACATGTAATGATATAGACACTAAGAGTCTCTCTTTGGGCTTCCCAATGAGGAAAGAAGAAACATCACTAAACAATGAAAAAGAGCAATAGGTTCAAACCTAAATGCGTTTAGGGCACAGGTTCAGATGCAACATCTTGCAGCACTTTTTTGTAAACTTTTTTTTTTTTTTTTTGTCAAAGCTCTTCAATTGCAGATTGTGTGTTTGTGGGATTTTTTTTTATACATATATGTGTGTGTTTGTCTGTTGTTGTTGTTATATATTTCTCTTATATGACTTGGGTGTGATTATTGCAGTAGTGAAGAGGAAATAAATGTGTGTTAATGATAAGACAGTTGGCTCAGTTGTTTGTAGGGCTTACATACAAAAAGCTGTGTAAGACAAACCAGAGTCTACAGGTCAGCATTCCACTGCAGTTCTCAACACAATATCCAAAATCTATATTTTGAACTTAAAAGAACATGTGTGCATATTTTTTGGCACACTAACTCCTATAGGAGCACCATGCTCCTATAATCTAGGCCACAGTGTTTACAGATTCCTCTGCACAGTGTGAATGTTTGCTTGGGAGAAGTCGGTTTTTGGACCCCATCGAGTCACGCCTGCTAACTGTTACCTGTCCGGGTTGCCAGATTAAGTAAAATCCCCCTTACCAGACCACGTCTACCTTATACAGAAAATATGTGGGCCGCTGGACACCATTTAGTCTGCTATATCACAAGCTATTACAATGGTTGCTTTAGAGTTTGTATAATATTACAGAAATTCTCTCCACAATTCCACATCCTGTCATTTTAAGCCCAGTGTGAAGTAATTTCTGTTGTAGGTCTAATCATGGTTGTAAATATTATATTATAATATTATAATATTATAAATACACAGCATTGTGGATTGATAAATATATAGTAAATAATACATAATTTAGATATTAAGGTTGGGTCCCTGGAGGACTAGTGGGTAGGCCACAGCGCTCTCACCGCTGAAGCCCGGATTCGATTCCATGCCAGGGAACCCGCCCCAGCTGCTGGGGTTGCGTGCAACAGTGGGCTCTCAGTGCCAGTCCCAAGCCCAGATAAAAATTGGGGAGGGTTGCATCAGGAAGGGCATCCGGTGTAAAAACTGTGCCAAATCAAATAAGAGGACCAATGATCCGCTGTGGCAACCCCTAACAGGAGCAGCTGAAAGAGGAACAACAACAACAATGTAGATATTAAGGTTGGAATGTTAAATTTCATCTGTACTGCATAAATACACTATATGACCAAAGGTTTGTGGGCATCTGACCATCACACACATATTGCCACAAAGTTGGAAGCACACAATTGTCCAGAATGTCTTTGTATGCTGTAGCATTATAATTTCCCTTCACTGGAACTAAAAGGCCCAAACCTGTTGCAGCATGACGATGCCCCTGTGCACAAAGCGAGCTCCATGAAGACGTGGTGTGTGAAGGTTGGAGTGGAAGAACTTGAGTGTCCTGCACGGAGCCCTGACCTCAACCCCACTGAACACCTTTGGGATGAACTGGAACACCGACTGCACCCCAGACCTCCTCACCAACATCAGTGCCTGATCTCACTAATGCTCTTGTAGCTGAATGAACACAAATCCCCACAGCCACGCTCCAAAATCTAGTGGAAAGCTTCCCAGAAGAGTGGAGCTCATTATAACAGCAAAATGGGACTAAATCTGGAATGTGATGTTCAAATATTTGAAGCACATATGGTCGCGATGGTCAGGTGTCCACAATACTTTGGCCATTTTTTGAAGCTGTTTATTTTTCCATGATATTTGAAACAAACCAATCTGGCAACACTGTGATAACAGTGGGGAAAATTCCTATTTAGTGTTATGTGAAAGAACGCGCCGTAAGACTGCTCCAGCAGCAGGTTATTAACACACCATAGGTGTGAGCATCAACAGAATCTGTTTGGAAACTTGCAGGAAATTTTAACACACTAATATTTTGGGGTATTTATTAATGGCTCTGTCTCAGATTCAGTGTCTAAACGAGCACCATGTTAATTTACGCACTAACGAGTCCAAGCCGGAGTTCCTGTACAGTGAGGAGCAGAGGCTGGCGCTGGAGAGGCTGCTGGACGAAGGTCCGGACTGCTTTCAGGAGTTCATCAAGACCAACCGGATCAGGCCATTTTTGTCGGACCTGGAGCTCGCGCAGCTGTCCGCCTCCGTGGAATCATATCGCCCGGATTTACCCGATTACTCAGCCGGCTTTGATGGGGACAGTAAAGAGGCGCGTGTGTCGCTGCAGTACTGGCCAGAGCGCTCTGAGGACACGCTCCCGCAGCTGGAGCTCGGCTGGTCTCAGTGCGCGAGCTACCGTGGAGTGACCCGCGTCGCCGTGCACGCGCAGCCGCCCCTCCACGGTGATGCGCATATTAAAGAGATCATCAGGAGAACCATAGCACAGGCACAGAAGGTGAGACTGTGAAATATTAGTAGAAGTAGCAGCAGGAGTAATAACAGTAATCATCATCATCATCATCATCATCTATAAAGGCATAGGAATTAATGTAGGTTAATGAGCTCAGTAGTAATAATATTGAGCTACTGTATAATTATTTACAATTCTTTAATATTAGGTTTGATATTAAAATACAACATCACTTTCAATTTTATCTTATTTATTTTATTATTTGCAAGAAATACTTACAAATTAACATTAGGTTTATACTTTATGTTATTATCATGTGAACGTTTTAGTACAGGCCCCTTGAATTCCCCCTTCATACAGGGGCCCTAGATAGTCAGTCCCATTATTCACTTTCAATAGTAGTAGTAGTAGTAGTGATATGATGAATTCATTTCATTTATTTAAACCTAAGAAAACAGAATGCGAACACTATTTATTGTCCTAGCATCAACACTCACATTCTCACACAACATGAGTTATATTAAGTAAGTGAAACTCCTGAGAATAGTAAGCAAAACCAGTTCGAAGCTCATCCCTAGGTAAGAATGAACCTGAGGTACAGGTACAAACAGACAGCTTTTATGAAGTTGTGATTATATGCAAGGCAAAGTCCAGCAATCATAGTAAATCATAAGCAGGTAGTAACCTTGAGTTTAGATAAAGTTTGCAGCACATACAGAGTCCAATATTTATCAATAAGACAAACAAACAAAGTGTTACTAACTGCTTTGAAATGTGATGATAATCTTTTATAACCTTAAGTGAGATCTGAAGAGGTTTTGCAGAACAGTTTTCCTCTGGTTAAAAAGTTTGTGGTCACTTAATATGGTAGATAATATAATGCAATCTAACCTGTACATATCTCCATTTACAGGTCATTGCTGTGGTCATGGATTTGTTTACAGACGTGGACATCTTTAAAGATCTCTTGCATGCAAGCTTCAAGCGTAATGTGGCTGTGTACATCATATTGGAGGGTACTGGGGTTCCACACTTCCTGAAAATGTGTGAGAGTGCCGCAATGCACACAGGACATCTCAAGGTATGTCCTGTCTTTTTTTTAATTTTTTTATTTAGAGCTGAATAATATAATAATGATCTGTTAATTAAATTGGGAAATCACTTTAACCACGTCAGAACTTTTGATTTTTGATTTTAAGTGCAACACAAAAGCTTCCTAGTTGAATCTTTATTGAACTGATATTCAGACAGGTCTGAGGTAGATCTGAGACAGGCCACTGTCACTTCATGCCTCCTGTCTGACCTGAGGGTTCAGACGGAGACAGAACACAGCTGATCACAGATTACCATGCTGAAGCGCATTAGGGACATTCCAGAAAAACAGACATGAGCCACTGAGAATGAGATTGGAGAATTTGCATGTGTATTGTGCATGCACACAGAACACATCCCGACCTCAGTATTATAAGATCTGGTGGAAAAATGAGTTAACCACATACATCAGGTTTTCCTGAGGTGTTTTTTTTTTCATTATTATTATTTCGCAAAGTTTTCCTCCACAGTGAAAGTAGGATGAATGCAACAAAGGTGACCTTGACCAGTCAATATCCACTCTCTACATATTTACAGCCTGACAGAAAAGAACAGACTCGAAGCCTCGGTATGGCGACTTTTTAGTATATAAACATTCTGGAACATTAGAAAGTCTTCGGCGCAGTCAAAAACTCATATTATGGCTAACATCCAATTACTTTAGCAATAAATAATACTGACTTAAGCTAGTTACATGCAGTGTACTTGATAAAGTGAACTTTCCAATGTAACCAAGAACTGAAATTTGGCTAGCAAACCTGTAAAACATGCTTGTGTGGTTGCACAGAAATATACATTTTCTGTTGTACATATTTTAATATTGTGAAATACTTCCAGTGAAAGCATATTTGATCATAATTTGGATTTAATAGGCTAATTTCAGTTTGTATATTTATATAATCATGTAAATTTGAAGTAACCTTAAAATGTAGGCCTTGTTGAGCTGTAAGTGTAAATTTCAGCCCTTTTGCTAGCTGGAATGTCTAAAGCTTGGTGTCCCAAATCTCAAAACAGCTCATCATCCAGATATACAGATATCATCCTTAAAATACTAAGGTCACTTACTGTAAGACTAATGCAGCAGAAAATGCACTGTATTTTCTGCAAAATTACAAGTAAGAAAATAAGGATGCAGATTACAATGGTGGCTAAAGCATGATGTTGAAATCCCCTTACAAATTGCAGTTGTGTAAGACCATAGTGCCTGCGTTGTTGTTGTTCCTCTTTCAACTGCTCCTGTTAGGGATCACCGCAGCGGATCTTCGGTCCGCGTGTTTGATTTGGCACAGTCTTTATGCTGGATGCCCTTCCTGACACAACCCTCCCCAATTTTTATCCGGCCTTGGGTCAGGCACTGAGAGCTCACTGTTGCATGCAACCCCACAGCGGTGAGAACACTGTGGCCTAACCACTAGCCCTCCAGTGACCACCATAGTGCTGACATAATACACCTTAATTTTCCATATTCTCATAGGTTGCAAACTTTGGCATGTAAAGTCATCATTCAGCAGAAACATGATAAAATCTGACCTGTTACACCTAAAAAAAAACACAAAAACACCCATTAATGGGGTTAACAGAAATCTTATACTTTGTTACTAACCTGACTGATGAGCAAGTGGCTTTATGTTGAAGCCTTTTACATATAAAACGGATATTGTATGAAATATTGTCTGAACATATTATGCATTTAGGTTGGTTAATAAAACAAATGACGAAGCGTAACAATTTTTTCAGACACTTTTACTGGTTTTTATCAAAGACACAAAGGACAAAATGCAGAGAGTAACAATGCTCCGAGTTATAATGTATACACAGAAAGACTAAGCAAGTTCACATACTTATACAGCGTTTGTCTTCAGGGTGTCCTTGTGCCTTACTCAGAATAATGTCCACTTTAAATGTGCATGTAATCACTATGCAGAAGAGCCCTTAATGTTTTAATTTTTTTTTTTTTTTTTTGCCTGGAACTGTTTAGAACTTGAGAGTGCGGAGTATCAGAGGAACTGGCTTTTTCACTCACTCGTCCACGAAAGTATGTGGGAGCCAAAGTCAAAAATTCATGTTTGTTGATGGACACAAAGCCATTTCAGGATCATACAGGTCAGACAGTTCACAAACGAGTATTCCTGTTTTTTGTTTTTTTTTACTAAAGCGATAATAGTATGAGTTCTGTTTTAGGATCTGTTTTAACTTTTACAGTGCCTTGCGAAAGTATTTAACCCCCTTGGGATTTATCAGATATGTCTGAATAACAAATGATACGATGAAATACACATATTCTTCCTGTCAGTATTTTTGTTGCAAACTCATGTTCCCTTATAGTGAATTGGTCAGCAAGTATTTCAAAGAAAATCAAAAACTGAAAAATGCTGCTTGCATAAGAATTCAGCTTCCCCCAGGTTGCTGAAGCTCCAGATGAAAGATATTGTCTTAATGGACACTATTGGCCTGCAACTGTGAAATATTAAAACAACTCCCATTTTCTGAACACCTCAGTTAAACTGCCATTGGAAAAAAAAAC